AGGGGGGAGCAAGGGCAACATATGTAACCTAAAGATCTGTACCCCCATAATATGATGAAATAAAAAAAAAAAAAAAAGAAATGCAATGTCTCTAAGCATTGCCTCCTTTCCCATCCACTCTATCTCTTGGTCATCTTATATATCCCGATACCTTTTCACCTTTAGTTCAGGTTTCCAGTATTCTACTGGTTACATTATGGTCCTGGCATTCATTTCTCCTACTAGATTGTGAAGTTGTAAAAAGGCAGTTTCCTATTCACTTGTGTAACCATAGGCAATCCGCTGTAAATGTTAAATTGAGCAAGCCAGAGCATCCTCCTATGAAACAGATCCATTTTCCCTTTAACCTCTCCAGCACACCCACCCCCTTATGTAGGTGTTTGTTTCATTCAAACACCCACAGACATGCTGTCCTTTTTAATATATATTGTGAATTTATATTATTAAATATAAACTCTTCAAGTAAAGTTACCGTCACATGCTGGACACTCAAAACATGTAAATATTTTATGGAGTAGTTAATAACCAATCAACATTTACTCCTGAAATAAAGTGAACATAATTTATAGGTATCACTAGAAATATATTAATGCTTAGTGCATGTTTGTTTTTAGGAATAATGTTACTGCTTAAATATGAAACACTCATTAATACCTGCCAGAGTGAAGAAAAATTAACTGTAGAAATCCACTTCTACTGAAAAAGATGAAATGTGTTCATTTAAAGTATCTTTAATACATCAGGTATCAATATTTAAAAACTTAGACAATCTTAAAATTGCAAAACCAGAAGCAGAAAACATATTCTACCCTGTAAACGAGCCCACAAGTCAAAAAACACAGGGACACACCCCAATTCTGCCATCTCTTGCCTGAAACATAGTATGTGCAAAATAAGTAGTTGTTAAATGTATGTGTTAAAAATCCATGGTAGGGATTTTTTTTTTTTAATCTCTGAGGAATTTTTAAGCTCCACAATCTTTATGTACATTGTCACTATGGTGTTTTTGTCCTCCAAATAGAGGCTTAAACAGATCATTTTTTCAAAAATTAAAAAAGAGAGAAAAACTTTTCAGGTAATAGTGGTCAACATTGTTATTAATCAAAGAATTTACATGGTACACATGGAACTATGAAAGAGAACAGGATTGGCAAAACAGAATTGTAGCGTTTCATGTGCATCCCAATTTATAGTGAATAAATCACTAGAATACGAGGCAGTAAGAGTTAAGCGGCAAAAGCATAAAGTATTTATGGAAACATGAGTAAAAAGGCCTATATTCTGAATAGGGAAATATCAGAGGGGGTGTTTCTTAGAAAAGATAAAAGAAAATATTAAAGCCATGTAATGTGAAATTTTTACTAGGTTTTAAAGTATATAGTCCCTTTTTACTCATCCACTCAGTCATTCCCTGAGCCTCTATCTTATTGCAGTTGTGTTGTGAAGGTTCTGGACGTGTATCTGTGAATAAATCAGACCAAATGTCTGCTTTCGTGAAGCTTAAAATTTAGTGAGAGGAGAGAGAAAACAAACATATTATTTATAAATAAATGAATAAATAAATTTGGTAAAGTTAAAAAAATGGTGTGAGGGTGGTGTCCTATGAATATAGGTTCATGAAATCCAGTAATAGGAATGCTGTCAGGCCTTAAGAAAGGTCTGGACCAAGAAAGAAAACTATGAGAAATCTCTCCCCCATCTCATTTTTGTTTTTTCTGCATATGTTTCCATTCCATTTTTATTTATAAGCTGGATATTTTGACATCTCTGATCAATGTGACTTACATATACATGTCCAGCTCTAGTTACCAACAGATACTGGTTGGCATCTGTCTCTCAGTCTTGATCCAGATCCTCAGGTGGGAGAATCATAGTCAGCCAGGTTTATCAGGTGTCTACCAGTAATAGTTACCTATGAATTTAGGGAGGAGGTCATTTGAAATTAGATCTGGGATCTACCACTCATTAGTCTCCAATGTCGGGGGTAGGATAGGGGAGAAGTTTATACAACAGAAACGTAGTTACTGGGGATGCAACTCCAAGGACAATATAGGGAGACACTAGTTTCCAGAGTGGAAAAAGTATTATAAGCTTGACAGATGTCAATCTATGAGACCATACCATTGATAATAGATAAAAGTATATGGATACTGTTTTTGGAAAACTATTTTCTATCATAGTCCATTTAAACCTATCCTGTATCACATTTTAATGATTTTTTTTTCCCTAACATCAATTCAATGAGCATATACAAAGTTTGATACATGGCTGATAGGCTGCAGACTGCAGTCCTTGAAGTCTTCAGTACCAAACCCAGAATAACACCCAAGAGCTGCTACTCTCTGCTCTAATTTTAGACTATTGATTCTTCTATATGGGGTAAGAAAAACAAAAGTTTAAGTGTTTCAATAACAAAATAATAGCACCATGCAGAGCTGATGGTGAAAATCTCAAAGGAGTTCTTAACTTTCAGATAAAATTTCTTAGAAAAGCTTCCCTTTATTATAAATCACCCTATGAGTCAATTCACTCTTCAGACTTGTTTCTCCCCCGCTGAGCCATCTGCATTAAGTTTCTGACCACATGGAATGTATTTAGGTAATCAAATCCACTCCTTGCAGCTGACCTGACAAGAAACAGCTTACTGTAACTGATATTGCTGTTTAAATCCATCATTAGTGTTAGCTGTGTCTAAAAAAATGTGAATTTTAGTTTAATTGTTACACATCCTAACCAAGACTTTAAATATTTTAAAGCTTCTTTTCATTGACCTTCTGCTAAGAAGAGCACATTTACATTTTACAGATCCATCATCGTGATTGAAGTAGATTTGGAGAATGGAAAAGTAGATTTCAACAAAAACTCCTATACCACAAAATATTAAGCATATCAGCTCTGCCAGTAGATGTTAAAAGAGAACAAACTAAAACTTTTGAATACGTATTAGGTTCTAGTCACTGTATATTAATTCACTTAATTTCATGATGATACTATCAACTAGTTATTAATTTTACTATTTTACTAGGTGAAGAAACTGAAGCTTGGAATTGGGAATTAAACCAGTTTTCTGTCTCCTAGGCCTCTGTCTTTGCTAGATTGTGTTTCTTCTCCATAAAGAACGATAAAATACCCTACATAGTATTTGTCT